CCTCCGCGTCCGCCGCGATGCCCCGGGCCTTCCGCCTCCTCGCCCGGCTCCGGCGTTTGGTTCCGACATCGAGGCGCAGCGGCGCGTCCCGTTCCCGCCGCTGTGCCGACGGGAGCAGATACCCTCTCGTTTGGAGATTGCTCTGGGGGCATCTGACGTTTTAAAGCAAACTCCATCTGGCTCTGGGGATGTCCTCCCCGCGTTGTTCCCTCCTTCCCGTCTCCAAATTTTGTGGTGTTCCTAAATAAATAGGAAGAAACAAACAAGGAATGCTTGCTGAGAGCGTGTCTTCCATCTGAAAAGAGAACTTTCCTCCCCAGCTTTTTAAAAAGGGGCCAAAAATAGCAGCCACACTTGCTGCTGGTATTTTAATGGAGGTTGGGAGGAATCTGAGTCAGCCAGGCTAACGCAGCCTAGGCTTTACATTACCAAGGAATTTGTTTGTTTTGTAAACCAAGTTCCCTTCATTCCCTTCCCCTTCCAGACCCCGGCACGTAACATAAACCTACACAAATCCGAAAGGACGGACAGGGCTAAGAACATCTGGCAGGGCCGGCGCTGCAGCGCGCGACCTTGAGGAGCTGCGCCCGTTCCCGAACGGTCTCGTTTCAGGCGCTGGTGTTACTTGTCCTGGATAATCTCAGATGTCCAACCTGCCACCCCTTTCCTGCCTGGAATGCTGACAAGCCCTGCATTGGCCCAACAGTGCTTTTTCTTGTCTCGCTGCCTCTAACTACTGATATTATGTATTTTTTTATTTCATACCAGGCAGAGTAAATAGGATGGGGGGGCTGGAGCAGGATCTCTAGAAATGGGCTGGTATTAAATTGCATGTTGGATCTGCCTGTAAACTGAGTTTATTCCCAGCATAAACTTTCAAATGAAGTAGTCGAGTTGGACAGGGATCAGACCTGATCGAAATTACAGCTAAAACCTCAGAACCTGAGGTAGGAGAATGTCCCCTTGCGTGCACGCCAGTTCAGGCCCTGAAATGTTCCTTGTACAACCACGATTAATTTAAAATTACCCCCTTTGTGTCACAAGTGCAGCTATATAGCTATCTTTTTTTCTTTTAACACGCATTGCCACTAATTTATTGGAGATAAGAGTCAAACTGTGCCTGCGGATGTCGTGTTTTGGGTTTTTCCTCTTGCCTACTGTATAAAAAAACAGTAAGGGTGCCGCTTGGCACTGGGCTCGGGTGTGCGTGGGTGTCTCTTGAGCTGGCTTTCTGCAGCAGGGCTTGTTTGGAAATGCTTGTTCAGCTGGAGAAGAGAAGGCTCCAGGGAGACCTTATAGCACCTTCCAGTGCCTGAAGGGGCTACAAGGAAGCTGGGGGGGACTTTTTACAAGGGCCTGTAGTGACAGGACAAGGGGTAACGGGTTTAAATTGAAAGTGGGGAGATTTAGATTGGATATCAGGAAGAAATTCTTCCCGGAGAGGGTGGGGAGGCACTGGGACAGGTTGCCCAGAGAAGCTGTGGATGCCCTATCCCTGGAAGTGTCCAAGGCCAGGCTGGATGAGGCTTGGAGCACCCTGGTCTAGTGGAAGGTGTCCCTGCCCATGGCAGGGGGTTGGAAGTAGGTGGTCTTTAAGGTCCCTTCCCACCCAAACCATTCCATGATCCTATGCCGCTCTGAAATGAGTTAGCATCCCCTCTGTGCGGGGCGAACAGACGTCATCGTGAAGATGTAACCAGACTCTTCTCTTTACAGTTCCTTCAGAGACTGGCACGAAAGCAGAAATGGCTCCAGCGGAGGTTGCCCAGAGCGATGAAAGCATCGGTGATTTTGGTGCTGGAATGGTGTTTCCAAGCTCGCCTCCAACAAAACTGCACCTGGATGCAGCTGCAATGGAAAAAGCCTCCAACTCCGCCGCTCCCCCTGAAGCCCCCATCATCCTCAGCCCTCCGCAGACGCTGAAGCCAGACATGTACAACCTGGTGTGGCGTTCGGGGCGGGATGGGGGCTTGCCCATCAACGCCTATTTTGTCAAATACCGCAAGGTAACGTTCCTCCTTGGCCTTGACACTGCGCGCCGCGGCAGGTGAATGTGTTTGATCTAGGTTTCTCCAGGAACCGATCCTTGTTGCAGTGCTGGTGTTACCAAGATCATCCTCTGGGACAGGTTGCCTAGAGAAGCTGTGGATGCCCCATCCCTGGAAGTGTCCAAGGCCAGGCTGGATGAGGCTTGGAGCAACCTGGTCTGGTGGAAGGTGTCCCTGCCCATGGCAGGGGGTTGGAACTGGATGGTCTTTAAGGTCCCTTCCAACCCAAACCGCTCTGTGATTCCGTGAACATGGTGTCAGGCCAGGGAGAATATAGGATATAGCTGACCCTGACGTGGCCATGCAGGCAGCTTGTTTTAGGGATGGCTGAAGCTGGTCACAAGTATGCCATTCTATCTAATTTTAAGTGAGACTTACTCAGCAGAGCCTGGGCTTTTGTTTCCTTCATTGTATTGTTATGGCCTACAGGGCTGCAGGGTGTGTGAGATGCATTTTTAACGTCACTTCTAACATCACTGGCGTTGCATACCTGTGAGCAAGCCTGAATCTGCTGCGTGTGCTTGGGATCAGGAGCCTCGTATGTCAGTTTGTTGCTCTCTGTCCCAGAGAGGCACTGTTAAACCAAAATGATCAAATACGAAGGTGAACTAAACTTTCCTACACACATACCTGCCGTGTCCTTAAAAAAGGGCCTGTCAGCAGCGAGCCTTCTTCATAAAAACCCGAACCAAGCAATGCCTCTGCCCGTTCTTCCAAGCAACCAGCTTTCTGCGTGGCAAAGCCCCTTGGTTTCTTATTCGTAACCTTTTTAATCCTCCACATCCTGATCTTGTCTTAGCCAGGAGGGAACGCTCCGGTTTTTTTGACCTGTTAGCTGCTGAAAACCTCGTGCCAAAGCATGGTGATAGGATTTCTCACCCAGAGGCGGTTGGTTCATGGAAACTCGGAAGGCTTTGAATGCTCCTTTGACCTTTCCGATGCTTACCCTTCGCTCGTACCAATCCTTTCCCCGTTACGTGTGCTCGTGTTTCTTGGCAGGGAGTTAACCAAGCTGGTGTAGGGTGATGGTGTCTTTGTGTCAGTAAATTATTTTATTGATTTCCCTCCTTTTAAAGAGGAGGGGGAAAAAAAAAAGTTGGGGGAATAAAAGCCTTAAAGTGATCACTTCAGAAGAGAAAATGCTTGAACGAAGGCCTCTGGCACAACCTTTGATAATCCACAGCATTTAGATCTGCCTTCCATGTTTTATTAAAGTCTTATATTGTTTAGTAGTTTATTTTTGGTGGAATCTTTGTCTTTTCCTTTGGGATTTGGGGTAATGTTTTCCTGCAGAGGTCAAGAGACTACCCTGAATCTCTTTCCTTTCTTAAATGGAGCTGGTGCTTTCACTGTTAAATTAAAAAGTGGGGGTTTTCTTAAAAATAAGGAAACATGCATTAATGAAAAGCAAGTCTTTGGTCTCTCTCCCCACTGACTTTGTTTTTCAGCTTCGAGAAGCAGCTCAGACATGCTTTTTTCTTGCCTTGTTTTAGCCAATAAATATTTTAAAATGCTGAAGTACAGGAAAAGCTGGGAGGGTTCAGGGAACAGATCTTTCTTATTAGGGTGTTGGGTCCAGCCCTTTAATGTCCCACACGCTGCCAGCTAAAGGCTGGCTGAAGCCTTTAGAAATCACTTTGGCTCTTGCTCGTTCTAGCCACAAGTGAAAATGACCCTGTTTTTCCAAAACCAAGTGTGCACGTGTGTGTGGAGAGGGAAAATAAGTCAGGTTTTTTGAAGGAGCGCCCTGAGGGTAGTTGCAGAAGTGCCGATGTGTGGCAGAAGCGTGCGGATACAAACCGACTGCAGGTAGATACAGGAGAACGGGAGGAGTTTGGGCACTTTGGGTGCTTGGGTATGGAAGCGATGAGGGATTGGAGTGTGACGTCGCGTTCTGAACTGACGCTGAGCTTTCTCTCCCTGTCCTGGGCAGCTGGATGACGGCATCAGCGCAGCGGGGAGCTGGCACACGGTGCGTGTCCCCGGCAGCGAGAACGAGCTGCGGCTCACCGAGCTGGAGCCTTCCAGCCTCTATGAAGTTTTAATGGTGGCGAGGAGCGCTGCTGGCGAGGGCCAGCCTGCTATGCTGACGTTTCGCACCAGCAAAGGTGGGTGCAGCATAGTGTCCCCCGTGTCTTGGGCCTTAGAGCAGAGATCGATTTAAATAGCATCAACTAATGTGAAATGTTCTGCAAGTTGGGTGCTAAAGAACAGCCTCTAAGAGCTAAAACAGCTGTAGGGCAAACTTCCCTGAGCATTACCAGGGCTGTTGGTAAGTAAAAGCTTGATAATACTATTTTTGGGATAATTCTTAAGATTTATTCTCTGAGGTTCCTCTTGCTTAAAGGAGCTAAGTCAGGGAGTGGCCTGTCCTTGTCCAGGTTTATCAGAGTATCCCAGAAGAAACTCTCTGCACCCTCAAGTTTTCATAGCTCAACAGAAGTGCTTCTGCTCGGCTTTGCAGGCACCTCAGCCGAAGTCTTTCAGCTGACCAGGAGCCAGCTGCTTCCATATCTGCGTGCACAGCAGCAAGCAGAAGTGCGTTTGTAGTCAAAGCAAATGTTTTTCTGCACTGGTGGCCACACTTTAAGCATGCAAGCAATCTGATGTACGTCTAATATGAAGAACAAGAGCCAGATAGCTTAACACTTATTAAGAATGTAATGAATTTGTGAATTTATGGTATGTGTGTGCTGCCACATGCCAAAAGTCCACTTTGGACAGGGGTCTGGCTACAGCCAAAAGCAACTCCCATAGCACTTTTATTGAACCTCTTGACATGGATTTTGGTGTGCGGTTTGCACCACCCGTTGGGATTTTGTGGTGAGAGAGGGCTTTGACACGCAGGCAGAAGCTGGCTGCAGGAGTCCCTGGGCTGACGGGGAATCTCCTTTCTTGCTCCCCTGAAGAAACTCCCTAATTGGTACTCCCGACTGTTTAGCTTGTGATTTGGAGCCAGGGCTGTAGTCCCCTGCTCTGTTGTGGCCTGAGCAGATTGTGAGAGGCAATGAACAACGTTTTCTGATCCGATCCCTCAGCTGATGTGCTGTGTATCAAATCTGTCTCAGAAAGAACATCATCCTCAAAAAACACCCAGGCTCAGTCTCCACCGGTGGGCATACCAAAACATCCCATCGTTCACGAAGGGACGAATAACTTCGGTGTCGTCCTTCCAGACCTGACTCGACACAGCGGAGGTAGGTGTACGAGTGGGTCGTAACCCACGTGCTGAAGGCTGTGTTGCAAACAGAGGCGTGGAAGGTGTGGTTGTGACTGCTCTAGGTGCTCTTATTTCCTGTTTATTCCTTAGGCCGCTTTGATACGTGTATTTTTCCTCTTTTGGGGTGCTTCTGTGAGTGAGGTCAGATATCTGCCAGGTTTTCTGTTCTTCTGAGTGTTTCCAGAGGAAAAGATCATTCATGCTCTTGGGATTAACTGAAAGTTTGCCTTATTCCAGACAGGGAGTTAGCATTGTACATACCTGGCTTGAGAGCCCAGGTTTCCATGGCAACGTTAAGCCACCAAGCAGTGTGTTTCTAACAGCAGTGGGGTATTTGGAGTGATGAATTCAGCAAACGCATGCCCTAATGTAGTGAACATATAATATTTCCAAGGATGCTGTTATCTGCACATGTAGCTCACAAAAATAAGTCCTTCCTGTGTAACCCACATTCTTGCCACTCATTTTTAAATCTGCGGTTGCTGTGAATGACCTAGAGGAAGAAGGAAAATGGAGATGCCTGTGTCGGAGTTTTAAGTTCTCAGAGTGGATTATAGCTGTTCTGAATGTTTTCTGGTGGCTTCCCAGGGATAACTTGTTTCTGATGGCAAGAGGATGCAACCACTTCCCATAGGTGTCACTTCTAGCCTGGTTTCTAGTGAAAACAGTGTTCACAGTCCTGTTTGTCATCACCCCAGCCCTTGACCTCACTGACCTGATTCAGGCGAACTTACTCAGGGGCTGAGGCCTCAAAGGCGGCTTGGTATCTAAGGTTTTGGGTAAAACCAAAGGTGAGTGGAGATATTTGGTAACGCAGGCGAGGAGCTGGGCGTTGCATGCTTGTGACTGTGCTAAACGTCAGAGGAGCCGCACAGGATGACACTGTGGGCCCAGCTGCGAATGCTCAGTCCCCTTCATGCCCCCAAAGCTGCTTCTTTGCTCTTCCCCCCTCTCGTCAGCTCCAGGCTCTGTGTTAATGAATACAAGCTAATTAGTAAGGCCTTACAGCTCTCCTCGGCTGTCAGGATGGTTGTCACCAGGTTTACT